GGGACGGCCTTGGGTTTTCCCAACATTTCCCCGGTCCCTTTTGTGGAAATTTCGGGCCGCCCCTTCCCCCGGTTTGGCCAGGACCAAAAAACCACCCAGGGTTGCCCCCCTGGTTTACTTCTTTTTCCCCCTTTTCTGCCCCCCCGGGTGCCAGGGTTGTTGTTCCCCCGGGGGGACTGTTTTCCTTTTTTTTTTTCTTGTTGTTGTTCTCCCCCCGGAAAGGGTTCCCGGGGGCCCCAAACCGGGAGTTGGTTTTGGGGGGGGCCGCTCCCATTCCACTTTTTTCCCGGGGAAAATTGGTTTAAAAACCCACGCTTGGTGCCAAAATTGGGGGGGGGGGGGGGGGGCGAGCAAATAAATGCTTAAACGAGGGAAGTAGGCAATGCTCGAAGAAGCGAAAGGAGCTGGAACGACCACCAAAAACAAACAGCAAGGAAACAAAACTGAACAATCAGAGGGGACCGGGACGGGGAGAGGATTCCAAAGCAAAAGGGAGGCAACCGCAGCCAAAGTACGCCGGGGGAACACCACAAACAGGACTTGGACCCGCAGTTTGAATGCTGTCCTTCTTGTCTTCACATTAAAAACCGGTCCGGTCTCTGCTCAGCACCTTTCATGGACGCGGGCGCCTTCCGTTGTCATAGGCACATCTCACAACTACTATTAATACAACAAAATTGCATCCTTTGGCAAGCATTGGCACCCAACTACAATTCCGACCGAGCACTTCTATTTTTCTCTCCCTTCACCTGGATAGACTCCACCGGAAAATCCTCGTGATCCCCCAACAGCCCCAGGAATTTATCTGGCTGGATGCTCACCACCCTGGTTGGCGCATCACCGCACCAAAGAAGGTTTGGGGGGGGGGGGTGGCGGGGGACGTGGGGGCGGGGGGAATGCGGGATGAAATCGTACATTATCAGCAGCTTGACTCCCGAGATTGTTTCCTCTGTATGTACTGCGGAACACGACCTGTTGGTGCTTTTCGGGCGACTAGATTCCTTTGGAGTATCTAGCTGCCAACACACGGCAAAACCAACTTCGTTGGCGCAATTTCCCCAACCATTTTGATTTGCTGCCGTCAATCAGGGCCGACGGAGCTTGAATGGCATGCTAATACGGACGGTGAGAGGGAGGGGGGGAGGCCGAAAGGGACGAGGACTACGCAATGTTTTCCGAGTTAAATGGACATCTAGACAGACAGCTATACGAACCGCTTGAAACGCCCATCGACACCGGTTCTTCGCCGTGGCGCGTGTACAAGATTTCGGCAATGCCACAACAACGTCGTTGAAAACGATTAGCGATTCGGATGTGCGTGCACGTGGCGCTTTCAAGGGTATTATCTCGACCCCACGTTCGGGTAGGCAATCTATCTTTTTTGCCCTTGCCTGATGATCCCGTCGCTTGAGCCCGTGAGCACGGTGTCTTCGTCAAGCGTGAGAAGCGTGTCGACCGAGTGCGGATGGCCTGACGACAAACAACAGGCCAACCAAGCAGCACGATGGTTTTGAGCGCATAAACCGGAAAAGGAGGAGCGAGCAAACCCCGGCGCAATCCAAAACGCGAACGAACGGGTTAACCCGGGACCGAGCGAAGGGAGAATGAGCGTGGATGGGAACGAATGAGCAGCGGTGTCCGTGCTTCGACTCTCTACGTGGTCGTGCTTTGACCCCCTCTTGCGTCTGCTTCCGGCACGGACGTCCGCTCACCCCTAAATCTGCTGGAACGGTCCCCCCACGTCCCCCAGGGCCACGAGACGAGAACGCCGTTCTGAGTGCCGCACACTACCCTCCTGCCATTCTGCCAGCGAAAACAAAACGAGGAGGCGAGAGAGACAGACGCACGAGCCGAAGAACCACGGTGGGGGGGACAGCACAAACCAACGTGCAGGAAGATAGAGGGATTCTGCGATGGGTGGACGGTTACTCATTTGTTGCTCGCCTCCATTGGATTTGCCACGCAGGCAACCCTTTCAGAGCGAATCACCGCTAGATAAGTCCCTCAACTTGGGACAATACTCAAGCCCCCCCTCCTTGATGTGGCTCACGTCCCCCAGCCTAGCGAGTTCTACTCGCTTCTGCACGGCCGCGTATCTTCGCTTCCCATACCAGAGCCTCGCAACCAGCGAATCGACCGGTATTCCCGCTTTTTTCCCATCACGTCAAGCACGGTCATTGCAACAAACCAACATTGTTACCATTGGGGCGATTGATACCACAGCTCGCCCTTCTGGCGAGAAAAAACAAACAAACAAAAAAAAAGCCGGCCTTTTCCCGCACCTCCCACCAGAAAACGTTCTGGTCGACAACACACAAAACGCCCGGCGCGCTACAGCAGTGTAGGCACTTCACGTGCTGGTGTGAGTGCAGGTGCCCGTTCCCCTTCTCACTTGCCTTGACAATCTGGATCGAGAGCAGCTCATCCTCCTGGTTGGTGACCCTCCCTTCCAGCCTCTTTTGCCGAAGGTCGAACACCGCCAGGGTAGCGTCTCCGCTGTTTCCGAACGTGTTGGGAAAAAGTACGCGCCGCGGCGGCGGTGGCAAAGGCGAGGGCAGAGCCAGCGGGGTTGAAACAAAAAACACATTGGACGAAAGGGACTGGGTCTGTCGGCACACCGAGCGTTTCGTGGCACCGTGCAAGACTGTGTGCGCTAACGATAGACCAGGAACAAACAAAAAAAATTAACGGATGGCAATGCAAGGGTGATTGAGCATTTTGTCGAGAGGGTCGACCCATGACAAGAACAGACACAAGGACATCGACCGCGACGGCGTCCTTTGCGAGCCGAAATGCCGCAAGAATGGGGCCATTGAAGTGGTCGGCAACACAGCGGGGCCGGCCAACCTTAACAAGGTAGAAGGCGAATGAAAAAGAAAGCGACATGACATGGCGTAGACGGATATCTAGAGCGATTGGTTGTACCCAGCATTCCGGTCAAACAGCACGATGATGCGCGCAAAGTCGGAAACAAACAACCACGGGGAAGGAAAGTGCGAAACATTCTGCTTGCGCCTCTGTCTTGTGGCGCCCCGCGATAGTACGCAAAAAAAATCATCAACAAAAAGAAAGGACGTCTACTATTGTACGTGCCGCAAGACCACGCCACAAGCTCCGAGAGAGCAAACGGTGCAATGAAAAGCAGACTCACAGCGCACGCGCGCACGCGTGGCCAGGCTTGACAAGTAAGCGCAGCATCGAGGACAACAACCCAGAAACACAACAAGTGCAGCAGCATCGAGGATAAACGCCAGAAACACGTCCAACGACGAAAACATTCGCTGAGCAGCATGCCTACCGCCTATGGCAGCGTCAACCATGGTCGCCGACCGCCACCGAGGTCTTCCTACCAGCTCATCGGCTGGACCACAACACTTGTTCCTTCCCTTGGCAAATCGGACGCCTGTAGGCCCGTCCGCACACCGCCGCCACCCCCACCACGTTCGCTCGTATATTTTCTTCCCAAAGACAACACAACAAAGGCGCAGACGCACGGCATCACCTTGTGGCTAGCAGCTTGTCGCTCTCCTCGTTGGTCGCAAAGGCCGAAATGAAGTCCTGCGTGGGTCAAGAAGGGGCGGGAAAATGACCGTGGTAAGGGTGGGGGGGTGGGGGGGGGGTAGGCTTACTTCGATTTTCTGTCTTAACGGCGCGGTACAGATTAACTAGAGGCGCTAAATAGGTGGAGGTGAACAGGATTGAATTTCAACAAAGCCAAACACATCAAAACAGAAAACAACCAACACATCCATTGTCATTCGTTGTCATCAACGTATTGTAAGAAAAAAAAAAAACAAGCACTACGGCACACGGCGGGAGAGGGGGGGCATCCAACCGCGGTAACAGCAGCAACAATGAGACTCATGGATCCAAGCTTGACAAGATCAACAACAAAACGGCAACAACAAGGAAGGAAGACCCCGCTCGCCGGCGTCTAGATAAGAAAGCTACGTAGCTGTTGGACACTTCCCAGACCAACAGCTGCGGCACGAAACCTGAAGCTCTGGCCATCCTTGCTTCTTCCACTGCAAGGCCCAAACCACCTAATCCCCGCTTTTGCTTCTAGCTTCGGTCTGTCACACTAGAGCGACTAGTTCAGCACACAATTCCCCAGCGATCTACGTGTGTTGGGGCGCTCAATGGAGCTCGGAACCCACCTCGTTCACGTCGAACTTGGCAACCTCATTCTTGGCTCTCGTGTCCCAAAGCTGCCGCAGCATGTCGGGCACACAAAACGGGCGCGCGTTAGAAGATCTCGGGGTGGCACAGGAAGCAGATGCACTGGGGATCCGAACTCAAGGTTGAGGCTTGGCTATGGTATTTTCGACATTCCCATGCATGTACGGCCCATGGACTTACATGCGAACAACGCATGCGATGGTACCGCGCTGGTAGAAAACTAGCAGTGTTCCCAACGCCGCCACGGTGAAGACACGACGTGTCAACATGATCTTGTAGCGCTGTTGAACCGTAGTAAATGCCACCGCTCGGGGTAGGAGACCCAACAGAAAACGCCACCTACAGCAGCGCCGCCGGCCGTGCATCACCAGCAGACCTTCGGCAAGCAGCTCCAAAAAGGGACCGGCATGCTATCACCAGCGGCAGTAGAGCAAAAGGTAAGGCGTTGTATGAAAAATGCGCATGGAACAAAAGCCGATCGTCAAACCTTGATGACGCCCTGGTCGTCTCCGCTGGCCAGGATTCCTTCAGACACGTTGTGCAGTGCGTTGACCGGCCAGTCGTGAGCCATTTGTTGCCTCCAGGTGACCTGAAAAAATAGGTAAAATAAACGAATCGACAAACACAAAAACGCCGGTAAGAAGGGGTGAAGGACGGGAACTATTTACCTGTGTGTTTTGTCGTCCAGAATCGAAGAACGAGCTGTTGTTACATGGATAACAAGCGTTGAGCAAGAACTACGCAAAAAAGAAGAAGGAGAAGGTGTTGAATCCTCTTCCAAGCAGACCTCAACTGATATAAAGCATGGCGTTTGACATAAAGCATGGCGTTGTTAACTGCCAAGACCAACGTGCAACACGATGCAGACGCAGAGCACCCTGGGTTCGGTGTGACCTATGCGTAAGTCGAATCACTTGGAGAGAGGGACGCAGACGCAACCTTGGTTTGGGTTCAACAGCAGTGGCAAGCTTTAGGTGCGTTGAACCTAAGTACGAAAGGGTGTGTGTGTCATTGGAACCCCGAGATGTTCAGATAAACAGCTACAGCCGGCAGGGTTGGTTCAGCGAGTTCGCTGAAGGGTGTAAGCGTGCGCGAAGAGAGCATGGGACGCAGTCGGGCGCCAAGCCGCCGCGGTAGCGGGGTGGCGGGGGAGGGGGGCGGGCGGGTTGCTCACCTGTCCTGTTTCTCCTGCCTGTGCGATGGACCTGTCCTTCGACGCCGTGTACAGAGCTGGGACGACGCGCACGGGAGAGAGGGGTGGACAGACGGCCGGGGAAGCTGCGGGTCGGTCAGGGCGGGCGCGATTCCAAATGCTAAAGAATACAGGAACAAAATTAAAATACTTCGGGAAGGACTGTAAAGGGGGACGCTTTTCATTCTTTGAAGGGGACCGAGAAAACAAAAAGAGTATCAAAGGACAAGGGCTACGTTGTCCTTGGGCGCCGTGGGGTTATCTTCGCGATGCGTGGGGCGGGGGGATTGAACGCGGTGAGCGTTGCCAAACGAATTCATCTTGTTGGAAGAGGCACGCTGTCCCTTGATGTAACGTCTAGGTGGAAATATTGTCCTCCATTATCCGACAAGAGGAACGCCCTTCTATCCTCTCTTCTAGACGATAAATAGGGCCTGTGAATGGGGGGACACAAGCGAGCCAGCGGGAAAAAACGCGGCCCTCCAACCAGCCAGAGGCAGAGCAACAGCCGGGCCCATCGCGCCAGCATAAATGAGCACCTACACCAACACCCCAAACCCTTTCCAGCCCAAAACGACGACAACGACGAGGCGACGACGACAACCCTTGTCCTGCCGCAGTACACTGGAAGAGGGTTAAGAGCTTCGGCCCAGGGCTGCTCACCGGCACCATCCTCAGAGAAGAGGACGCTCCTGCACGAGGCCTGGTGGTGCGACAGCTCGAGAGCCAGCTGGTGCCCCTCTGGCGAGTATGTATGCCTGCCGCACCATCACCGCGTGTACGTATGATATCAAGGGTCAGGCGGGGGGGGGGGGGGGGGGGGGGGGGGTAAGCGGGTGCCCCCCTTGGCCAGCTGTCCCTTTCGTTTGGAAAATCAAATGAGGAAAAAAAGAGTCTTTTTTGCTGTACAG